CCCACTCTGGAAGACCCGGGCCCCTTTAGCTTCTCTCCCCCAGGCGACTGTACGACCGCCTTCACGAACGCGCGTGCGCGTGCGCGCCGTTCTGCACCCTGTACCTCCACCCCGCTGCGATGACGCTGGAATGCGCACCACACGCGCCGGTCCACCGCCTTCTCCGCGCCCCGCTGAACTACGAAGACCGGGGCAGAGCACCACAGCAGCACACGCGCAAACCGTCAGCGTATCCCGCGCCGCCATCACCGGCGGCCTCTTTTCCACTGCACCGCTCACACTAAGGACGCGCAGTACCGCGTCCGCCTTTGTGTGCATCTGCTCTATCTCTCCGCACAGGCCCAAGCCCAGCACGCATCGGTGGCGCTTCCCCACCCCGCGCGCCCCCATCCCACCCCCGCCCACGCCGCACACCTCCCCATCCAGAGCATGCTGTGCGTCCCGTGCGCTCGCGCACTCCACCATGCACGCACGCAAACGCACGGGACGACATGCAGCCCCTCCTCCGCGTGCGCGCACCGCGCCAGCCAAGCCCATGCTCGCATCGGCGTCTCTCCCCAACGCCTGCGCGCTGTACTCGCCCACGGCGATTTCCCCTGCACCTCCTCCCCGCTCCCCCCCTGCTCAGTCTCCCCCCGTAGACAGCTGTCCCACCCCAGTATCCGCACTACCCACCATCTCTACCCGCCCATCCGCCCAATAACCGCAGCCAAACTGCCCATCATGCCTTCCCCAAACCCTATCCCGAAGAAATAACCCCCGAAGCAAAAGCAACGAAACGTAAACACACCGGATGCGTCGCCATATCAAACAGCAAAAAGTTGCGCTTCTCGGTGAGCGGGATGCCCTCGTCAACGAGGCCCTTTGCGAGGGAGCGAACGGAGTGAGTATGAATCAGCGAGGTGAGTGAAAATAAACAGTGAAAATTGAAGATAAAGATGAAATAAATAGAGAGAGTAGAAACGATGACGGTGGGAGAATGGGAGAGTAGAAGAGCGGAAGAGTGGGCACCGGGTGCGAGTCCGAAAGAAAAACAGATGTGTAGAATGACGAAGGAGGTAGGGGGGAGGTACGCGTGGACGAAGGATGTACAAATAAATTATTTAAATAGAATACAAGAATACTCTTGGACGGATGGAAAGGAAACGCGCCGCGAGGATGTGGAGCGACGGAGGGGAGAAGGGAGTACGGACGGAAAGGAAACGCACGGCGAGAATGGAGGATGTGGTGAAGCGAGGGAGGTAAGGAAATACAAGGGAGCATGGGGAGGAGAAGAACGGCGCGAGAGGGATGACGTAGGCAGTGCTGGTGGGGAACGATTGGGGAGAGCGAAACATAAGATAGGAATCAAGGTGTGCATGTAGCGTAGCGTACAAGCAACTTCCACGAAGATGGTAGATGAAGGAGCGCATAGGAGGAAAGGAACAAGAGAAAAGAAAGAATGGAACGAGGAGTAAACCGAAACCCACCTGCTTCAGCTGGAACCCAATCTTGAGCGATGTCTCGCCTTTTTTTTAAATCAGTCAGCTTCCCGATTAGGCAATTCGCAATTCATTTGTAAAAAAATAAAAAAGTGCAAGGAAGGGAGTGAGAAAGAAGGGATGAAGGGAGAAAAAGCACCAAGCGCGTCGACGCCCGCAGTCCGCGAACGCAACGTCCGCCGCGTCCCAGCGTAAGCGAGACGCGGTCCCGTCCCAGTGCCACACGCTGCCGCGGGCGAATCCTGACATAGACATCCCATGCGACCCGCGAGTACCAGTACTCTCGAAACCCCCGGGCGAGCGCGGCCGCGAAGCTGCGGTCGCGATCTAGACACGGCGAACACCACGTCACAGCACATCAGTGCAAGCAGGAGGCGGTTCAGCCCACGCGCTCAACGCAAAGGTCGCGTCGGCGCGTCGGGCGACCTCCAGTTCCCGACGCACATTCCCAGCGCGAGCCGCGGCACGTACGCGTCCCACGCGCGCAGCGCATAACAGGACGGTGCCGCGCACCCTCAGCCCTCGTACCCCTCGCGCGTGCCAGAACGGCCGCGCACACGGTAAACGCCACGTCCCAGGCGCACACACGGTGACTGCCCATCCGCGCGCCTCACGCGCGCCGCTACTCCTGATTTCAATCAAGCGCGGACATATGCGCACACAAGCCTCTGGATCCCGCCGGCGTGTATGTGTATGGTAGACGCCACGACCGCGTACGTGCAAAGCCGGAGCGCGCGAAACGAAGAAGAAGACAGAAAGAAAAACAAAAGATGGAGGTAACCCCCGACCCCACCAGGAAGGGAAACGGAAACGAAGGCCGAGCGCGGACGTGGGGATCGAGGCAGGTGCGCATACACAGACTAAAATAAAAATAAAAACACATTGCGCCCTAGCCACACGCGACCAACGCCGCCAGTGGGTGTCAGAGGTGCGTCCGCTGCGGGACGGCGGTTCTGCGGGGAATGGACGCCATCGCGGGCAGGCGCGGTACGCGGCGGGGAACGGCGCGCATGCGTGGCGCAGTAGGCGCGTGCACACGACGAGGCAGGCGGGATGAGGTGCGCAGCGCGGCTGGCGCTAATTCAGCCGCCAAAGGCAGTCCTAGCCCTGAATCCCAAAAGAAATGCGCACCCGGCGCCAATTCGGACGCCAAAGTCCGTAACTCCCAAACGCAAAAGCACTGGCCCACAGGCGCGGGTCCAGAGACCCAAAGCAACGCGCAGGGCCGGGCGGCGCCAGGCCCAGTCGCGTGCGCAACGTCTCACAAACCGTGTATCGGGCTGCGGCGTAATCGCCCGCACACCGCGTGCGTGCGAATAAAGGCGCAGGCGCGCAAGCGCGAGAGGCACCCCACCGAACGCCGGTACCGGGGTGCGCTGCTGAGATCGTCGGCTCGGCGCGGCGCATCGGGTGCCGTGTGAGGCGGAATTCCGAGTGCCGGCGCAGGGCCAGCGTGCAGGGTGCGCAAGCGTCATGCCGGCGATGTCCCCACACCAGCGCGCATCCACCAAAGTCAAAGCAAAATCCACCGACGTAGAAGAAAAATCCAACGAAATAACAGAGCGCCGGCAGCACGGTCGCGTGCGGCCCACGTCTCACGCATGCTACTTACCAGACGCCCGTGTGACAGAACCATCCAGCCCAGCGCCAAGTCAAATCCAAGTCAATGGAAAGCAAACGAAAAATGAACACACAGAAAAGGAGAATAAAAACGCGGACATACCACTCAACGAATCGACCCAGGATCTTCTCGTCCGCTTCATCATCCTTGGCAGTCTCGTCGAGAGGGGTCTCGCCGGTCTGACGCGTGGAGAGCACCGTACGCGTGGAATGACCGTCCTTGGATGCGGCGGGTCCGCGGCGGAAGCGTGGCTGTGTGACAGGGGGACAGCCACCATCAATGCGGCTTGCGGACCGCGCTCATCAGCAAACAGGAAGATTTGCAGGAATATTCAGTGGGCGTTCAAAAGCTCAAGAAGGCATTGCTAGTCTGTGGACATTCACCTCCCGGTTAATCTTGAAACGCAGGGGACTCGTTTCGCGGCAATAGCTCCAGAAATCAGCAAGAAATTCGGGGGCGTGTAGCCTAATGTAGCGGCGTAGCCCTCTCAGGCTGAGTCGGAGTTTCTGTAGCTCGACAAAACGGGGGTGTGCCTCGGGTCCTTCCATGTATACCTTCATTTGCTGGGTCTCATATGCGCTGCAAACTCTAATATTTTGCTCGCTCTCAACTTGCGTATCCTGAACATCGCGCTAAAATCAGCTCCCCGGGTCAACTAATACTGGCTTCCGTTTCACGGCCGACGAACTAACTCCTTTGATGCAATAATCCTGGCGCTGTACATGGTGGATTGGCCTTCTATAATCCTGCCCCTGCCCTTTCGGGTTGATTGGAGTTGGGATCGATGCACATGCTGCCGCTGGACTATAAAATCACCCCGTCGCCTGCGAATGTTTATTTAAACCCGGACTCGAGCGATCTGCATTGGTTTCCCTCGCTCGCACAGCCAAGATTGAGCGACGCCGCAGGAGAAGACACATCATTCCCATGTTCAGCTGCTCAAGAAACCATCACTGTGCTGAACTAGTGTTTCGACATCTCCCTCCCTGGCTTGCACGACCGCACAACCTCGACTTCAATCTGTGTAAATTCCCGCCTTGCTTCCGAGCCATGCTCAAGGCTCAACGTTCAATCTAGTTGGCTGCAGAAACAGTCTGGATAGGAATTTAACCGACGACGCGCAACGCCCAGTGCTTGCTCTAGATTCTATATGCACTACGCGTTTGGAGTTTCTGTACTTGGTATGCGGTTGAACTTGGTGTTGGAATTTATCTACTGCGCTGACAAGCTTTGCTCTCGTGCCGAACGCTCGGGTAACCACGGCTTCGATTCGCTCCTTGGCCAGTGCTCAGCGCCCCAGTACACTTCACTCCCCCACCGTGACCTCCGATCTTCATGTGCTCGCACAGATCCCGACTCGAATGCTCTGTCTTCGCAAACTGCCTCGACTCAACTCGCCTTCTCGAGAGCTCAAGCAACCCAATGCTAATTTCTGGACGTTTGACCGTGACGTCCTGGTTAGTTTTTGAACGACGTGGACTCGTTTGGCCTAAATAGTTTGTCTAAGTACTCTTGTTCAGGACTTCATCTTGTTCCGCATCGGCCTCCTATTCGCACTTCAAGCTACGCCTTCTATGGCTTAACAAATTTAGGGTATGCCTCCAGCTCGTCTATACACACATACTGTTGAATCCTATTTCTGGAATCACTCGATCTCGACTCCTATTGCGCTGGAAATTCCCCAGTTCCTGTCTCAAACAATGAGGGAGGGCCGCGTACACACCTAGGATAGACCACCTTGAAGGAGATGTGATCCTGCTCAGTACTTCAAGACACTGCGGCCCTGGTCCTGCCTTTGTTGGAACTTCGAACGAATCCGAACTGTATTAGTTTCTCGAGTCTGCACCCCAGTAAGCTTTTGTTATTGGCTACTGATTATGGTGCCAATTGCACATCGCGCCTGCGTGGCTCAACGGTTAGAGCATCCTCCTGTTGTAACATTACCATTCCAATGAGTCCATGAGGACGGTGCGGGTTCGACTCCCACCGCGGGCATGTGTCAATATTGAAAGGTTTTTCTTTTTCCACTCGCATTTACTATTATTCCCCCCCTCCTTTCTCTCCATGGCCATTCCTCGGCCAGTGTCTCCCCTTTCCCAAAAGCTATCTGACTTGAGATGGTGTGTGTTGATGAGTTGATGAGTTGAACGGCTTGGAAGTTGTGTGGCAAGTGCCCTCGTAGCTCAACGGTTAGAGCTTCCTCTTATTGTGTTAAGTGATCCCCGTAGTTTATGAGGAGGGCGTGGGTTCGAGGGCGTGCTGTATAAAGCTCTTGTTTTGACCCCGGGCCGTTTCTCCCCTCCTTCGATTGTTTTCTCTTTTGTGTCTTGCTTGGCAATTTTTCGACTTCAAGGATTAAAGTCGAGTCGTATTTGTATAGTACTAGTACGAGTGACTATGCATACATGCATGCTATTTGGGTCCGTGCATAGCTAGGGCTCCGACCCGGCCGGCCCGTCAGACGGCCGGGTGAGAAACGGCCGTTTTTTCGCGACGGGTGGGTCAACCCGGCCGTCAGGGAGAAAGTCAAGACGCCCTGACGGCCGGGTGCCGGCCGTCAGACCCGTTACGGCCGTCGACGGGTGAAACATATATTCAATGGCAAATGTTGCATTCACCCAACGAAACCAGGAACCAACGGGAATAGAAGTCAACCTTTGGTGCTCCATTCTTGTTTTCGAGACTCGTCCGCCCAAAAATGGGCGCGAACGCGATTTTGGAATCGTGAGACCCCGTTTGGCGACTTACGGCAGGGCTATCGGCATGGTCGGCTGGGTGCAAAACTTGCCTGAACGGCCCAAAATGTCTACCAACCAAGATAGCATTGCATCCTGGACACTTGAATCTGACCTGGGGAGCATGAACCAGGGTACTTGCTTTGCCTGGAGCATCATCACTTTGCCGACCCGTCCACCCGTCGACGGCCGTCGCCGGTGCACCCGTCGCCGGGTCCACCCGTCTCGTACCCGGTCGTCAGAAAAGAGGTTCAGATGGGTTGACGGCCGGGTCCCGGCCCGTCGCGACGGCACCCGTCCCCGTCAGCGACGGCGACGGGTCGGAGCCCTATGCATGGCAGCCCTCGGTTGCATTGAGAATCACTGCCCTCGTGGCTCAGTGGTTAGAGCTTCCTCGCAGGCCCTGTGAAGCAGGCCAAAAATCCCAAAACCTTGTCCGCCTTTTAGGTTTTTGAGGGTTGGATGCTGAAATTTTGTGCCAAATTGTGCCGACAATCAGGGGAATTTGGTTCGTTATTAATTTTCCCTTGCGCCAGGTCAAGGGGGAATCATCTTTAAAATTTCGGATATACAGTCATAAAGTTTTTTTATACAAAATCCTGACCCCCCCCCCCCTCCCCCCCCGTGGGAAATTGCTTCATAGGGCCTCAGGATCGATCATTTTTGCAATTTTTTTTCGCGCAGGCGCCTTGCATACGCTGCCCGCATTGGTTCCCAGACTCAGATGCAAGAAATTCAGTCAGTCTATCGACAACTGTTTGCTGCAAAAATTACGTGGCTTTTGATTGTCAGCTGTGATCATGGCAGATTCCCTCTTTTGGCGAGGCTGTACACTTGTCAGCGTCCAAATGTAGTAATAATCTGGAATAATGTATGTCCACAAAGCTCGACAACGACTGCACCGTTCACCATAAAAAGTTGATATTCGTACTCAGCATTGAAAACCCTTCCAAATAGAACCCGATATCCAAAATTTTAAAGATGATTCCTCCTTGCGCCAGGTTGCCAGCAAGCTTGCTTCGCTGTAATGGTGCCCCGCGGCGAAAATTGGATTTAAAGGCGCAAAAATTGGATTTTTTGTGGACATCCACGTGACAACAGGCCCTGTCCGATTTTAGGTTTTTGAGGCCATGATTGGTAGAGGCCGACAAGCGGCGGGGCAAAAACAGAACAGGTAATGTCGATATTATGATGATGCGGAAGGGTACAGTTTAGGTTGTTCGCAAGTACTGCTAATATCAATTCTCGTTCAAATCTGCTTTGCCTTTCCTTTATCCCTCTCCAACGCGTCGTTAGCTCCTTCTCCCGTTTTCACGCGTTTCGGGTTGGAACCTTCGGGTTCCTGACTTGCGTGTCGTTCTGTTGATTTTTTCCATAAGAATATCATCACAATGAGGAACAAGGAACTTGCTAGGCGGGGTCGGGAAGTTAGAGGGTCCAGCTGCAGGAGAGGAAATGGGCAATGCAAAGGCTTTGACGGCGCGTTGTTCTTCGGCGTACACTTCTTGCGGGGTAAGGGACACCGGGTGATAAGGTTTGGTTGCTGACTTGTAAGGGCTCGGTGGTTTGATTTGGGCGGGACGTAGGATGACCACCTGTTGGATCAGACCTGGTAGATATGAGCAGTAATATGATTCGATTGGTTATAGCTGTACCAGAAAACGAGTCGTCCCTTTCAAAGGCGTGGTGGATGAGACTGAACGAGCACTCAACGAGCGCACCCTTGAGCTTGGATGCGATATCCATTGGTGCAATAGCACTGCCGTCGACATCGAAGACAAGGAAGGGCCGAATTACATGTGTGTCAACAATTTTTTCCAAGTCATCACGGCATTCGGTGGGGACAGGCCATGACCGGATGTCGACGTCGGTGTCTGAAAGAAGATAAGACAATTTAGAAGAACTATCACAGCGAAGCGCATACCACGGTTTCATTTGTTCTAATCGGCGGTCGTTAAAGAAGAATATACGTCAAATTTAATCGTACCTTCTTGTCGAACACTTTGAACGCAAATCGAATGTGTTTTTCAGAGCCATCTTCTACAATTAGCCATTTGTTAACATGGGTCTTGGAGATCGCGCTTTGAAGTTTTTTCAAAGCAGTAAGGGCAATTGGAAAGTCGGGGGCGAAAGTAGGATCATTTTCTGACAACATCGTTAATCACCACCTAATGTGCCCCACTAACCCCTCTAGTTAGAGGCTGAAGGTGGGGGGGGGGCTCAGCCTCTAACTAGAGGGCTTAATGCGATTTCACGGGAATCTCTTATATCCCTTATGTGGGGGACTTAGGAGATCGCCCAAGGCCGTCCACCAACTACGGCGGGTGGTGGACACTACCTCTACGGCGGCCACTGCCCTCCCTGCCGCCCTCCCCGCCGTCTTCATTGCCTGTCGCCGCCGCTGTCGTCACCGCTGCTGTCGTCACTGCCGCCGTCGTCACCGCCGACTCCGTCCCCAGCGCCACTGCCATCACGGGTGCACGCTGCCATCAAACCGCCTCCCCCATCACATCACCCATCAACAACACGTCCCGCACGTCACACCGCCACTCCCGCACATTACCCCCGACGCCCCCGCCCGCCGTCCCGACCCCCGACCCCGACCTTATTAATTTTTTTTTTTTCTATTTTTTTCTTTTGACGTTCTATCGTAGTTTTATTGTTTTCTATATCATTAAACACGATGTATTCTGCAAAACATGACATGGTGGAGTCTACCAACTTCCAGTGAAAAACGCAGCCCGCTGTCCGGCATACGGCCTACAGAAGTAGGGCGTCCGACAATGGGGTCCATTTTTAAGTAAATGTATAATAAGTGGTACAACAGGGCGGGGCTACTGAACAAGATCAAGCAATATGTCCACCAACTTCCTGTGTCCACCAACTTCTCTGTACTATACACAGCACGAACATCACTATGGTCTGTCCTCCTCTGCGCCATTCCCATCCTCAGCGACGTTCAGAACCGTCTCAATGCCGACATCGGTGTCTGCCTCATTGACGTCCGGCTTACATTTGTTTGTTGACATGTGCGTGTGCTGGACATTGATAATCATCTAACTCCCTTCAAGGCCACCACCACCACCCGACCACCTCACCCAACCAGAGGACCCGGTAAGCCCCTCTCCTTGCCTCACCCCATCCTTCTTGCCGCACCCCAGAGAGTGCGTTGCGTTGAGCTCAAATTGGGCTCCGCATCGCCGGCTGCTTGCCTCTGGGTGTTTAAGCTGCAGAGGTGTGTGTGTCCTCACTAGGCCTCCTTTCACTCATTCCTCACGCCTACTCCGTTCGTTTGCACCGCGCTAACCGCAGTTCACAGGCATGCTTTGGTCCTGGCATCTAGAAAAGTCAGCTGTCCACCAACTTCTCGGGCACGTACTCACATATTCCTCTAGACGCAAAGCAGGTGCGTTTTTGCCAAATTCTACCAGGCCACCATCTTTTCGATCCACACACCGTTTGCTGCTGCCGTCTGCGCTGAATCCGACAACTGGGAAGACACCGAACCTGAGGACTCTGAGCCTTACCTCAACACCTCGCATTCGGACACCACCATCGCAACCACTGATACAGAAGCTGCCGGTCCCACCCCTCCTCCGCCCCGAAGAACAAGCCCGCATCGCGCAGCAACCACATCCAGTGTTGCCCCAAAGGGATCCGAAAGGTGGTGGTCATCTCTGCCGGGCATGCGGTACGCCCTGCTGCATATCTCAAGCACACGGCGGGGGGATGGAATGTGGGTGCTGATCTGCGTCCACTAACTTCCTCTCAGCCAGGGCCGGCCCCTCGTCGACGCGAAGGGGCACATTTTTTCCGTGCTCATCGAGGACCCTCTCACAGCTCATCTGCATTGGCTTCACGCAGATCCACTGGGATGGAATGTGGGTGCCGATCTACGTCCACCAACTTCCCGTCCACTAACTTCCTCTCAGTCAGGGCCGGCCCCTTGTCAACGCGAAGGGGCACATCTTTTCCGTGCTCGCCGAGGACCTCTTACAGCTCATCCGGATTGGCTTCACATGGATCCACTGGGATGGAATGTGGGTGCTGATCTGCGTCCACCCACTCCCCGTCCACTAACTTCCTCTCAGCCAGGGCCGGCCCCTCGTCAACGCGAACAGGCGCATCTTTGCCAGCTCGCCAGTCAACCTAATACCCCCGCCTACGCCCCCGCCGTCACCAACACATTCGACCTGCTCGCTATGTCGACAACGACTTCATGGCTGAGGCGGAGTTGGCCGAATCGAACCCTGAAGAATA